AAGAAAGAAAGAAAGAAAGAAAGAAAGAAAGAAAGAAAGAAAGAAAGAAGAGAGAAATGTTCTGGAATGTGGTCCCTGGCTTGGTCGTTTTTCCTGTTGCTGTATAAAATACCCGACAAAGGCAACTTAAGGGAGAGAGGCTTGCTCTTGGCCCACAGTCCCAGGTTACAGTCATCATGGAGGGATGAGGCCCAGGAGTAGGCGGTTGAGGCAGCTGATCACATGACAGCCACAGAAAGAGATGGATGCTTGTATTCAGCTCCCATCCTCCTTCTTAAACAATCCAGTATCTTATCCTAGGGAATGGCTTCATCCATCATTAGAGTGGCTCTTCCTACCTTAATTAGCCTTTCCCAGATGACCTCCACAGGAAGGCCCAGAGGCTTGTCTCATCCCCCGCCCCCCAGCACCCCTCAGGTTCTGTGTCTCAGCAAGTTGATGTTTGAGATCAGCCGTCACACTCCCTGTTTTATCATTATTGTTTTGAGGCAGGGTGTCAGGTATCCTGGGCTGGCCTTAAACTCCTGACCACACCCCTCTACCTCCTAAGTGCTGGGATGCGGGGCTATTACTAAGGTGCCTGACTTAGATGCTCCCTGTGGACTTGACATTTTGCTACCTGGGAAGGAGAGGATAATCTGCGTACCTTGAATCGCCTCAAAGAATTCCTTCTTTAAAACCGTTTATGAAACTTTAAATAACACTGATTCCCAAGGGGCATGTTTAACATTGCTCAACTCAGAAATGCCCTATTATCCCTGCTCTTTGTTCTCTCTACTTAATCCAGTTTTCTCTCCAGGATTTCTTCCCAAAGAAAAGCCACAGTCACCTGATGGTAATATTTGAAATAATATGTGATAAGGGAGCCAAGAATATTAAACCTTCTCTCCCCACCTCCACACAGTCACCCTTATTTAGATCAATTGCACCCCTTTTATTTTATTTATTTATTTGGACATAGAGTTTCCACTATGTAATTCTGGCCAGCCTGGAACTCTACAGCCCAGGCTGGCCTCAGACTCTCAGAGATCTACTTGCCCCTGAGAGCCGGGATAAAAATGAGCACCACCACGCCCGGGCAATAATTTCTACTCAAGATTGGAGCCTGAACTTTGCGTATAGCAGGCAAGCACTCTCCCAGGGCCTCGGTTGTACCCTATGGCAGACTTTTATTTTTCCTTCCTGCAACTTCGCTCCTTTGAATCCTGTTCTTCCCACAGAAGCCAAGGAGCCTTTTAAAATATAACTCACATCATGTCCCTCTGCTCATTACCGGGACTCCCATCACACTTGGCCCAGAATACAACTTCTGACCCAGACGTGATTGCACCTGCCTGGGAGGGAGGGGGGCAAGAGGTAAGCTACACAATGAGTTCAAGGGCAGTGTGGGAAACACGAGACTCTGTGTGTGTGTGTGTGTCTGTCTATGTCTGTGTGTGTGTATGTCTGTCTGAGTCTATGTGTGTGTGTCTGTCTGACTGTCTATGTGTGTGTGTGTCTGTCTGTGTCTGTGTGTGTCTGTGTCTATGTGCGTCTGTGTGTGTGTCTGTCTGTCTATCTGTCTATGTCTGTGTCTGTGCGCGTCTGTGTGTGTCTGTCTGTGTCTGTGTGTACATATGTGTTTTTTTATGTGTTTCTCTCCTCTCACCATGGAGGTTCTGGGAATCTAACACTTGGTGACAAGTGCCTTTACCTGCTGAGCCATCTCACCATCTTGCCAGCCCCAAATCCATACTTCCTAAGGACTCTTTTGCTGACTCTTGAACACTCTACCCCAAGACAAGGTCTTTGCTGTAACTGTTTTCTCTCCTTGGAATTCTCTTCCCCCACATCCCGCAGTTAACTTACTTCCTTATGGCTTTCGATAGCCCCAAGCTCCCTCACCTTGGTTGGCTCACTCTAAGCGCTCATCTTGGGCGTTGGTTGCACCACTTTGCTTTCTAGCCAGTGCTCTCCCACGTGCCAAGGTATAGACTTGTCTGTGACCCATCGCCACCCCTGGAAATGTGAACTCCATTAAACAGGGACTTGGTTTTGTAGCCTGCTGTGTGTTCAGCTTCTAAGAGCTGTGGGTCATAGTTCAGGGGCTTCCTAAATGCTCACTGACGGTGAGGATTGGAAGCATAAATAGTTGGTGTCTTTGGGTTCATGTTGTTTTGCACATTTTTTAAAAGACTTATTTTCTGTACATGTGTGAGTGCCTCCACGCACAGCATGCATGCCTGGTGCCCCGGGAGAACCAGAGTTCCATACAGGTAGTCATGAGCCACTGATGTGAATGCTGGAACTTAGCCTGGGTTCTCTGCAAGAGCAACAGGTGCTCTCAACCACCGGGCCATCTCTCCAATCCCAGTTTTACACATTTTTGCTTGGGAATGGTTGTTTCCTTACCCCAAGAAGGCTGTGCCTCCCTTGCTGAAGACTGTAGAAGCTTGTACATCCTCTTGGCTGGAAAGGTTTTCATTTTGTGAAGATAGGGTCTTCCTCAAAGTTCTTGCAGCTTCCATAGAATGAAAGTATACTGCAGATGGCAAGGGATGGAGGTTACCTGCCCAGCCAGGACATCATCAGCCCTGTCTGTCAAAGGCAGCTGAGCGCGGCCCCAGCAAGGTGGCTTCATAGGTAACAAACAACACCATATATATTTTAATACACTTATTTATTTGAGCTGGGTCTGCTAATGCACACCTTTAATCTCTACTCGCGAGGCTGAGACAGGCAGATCTCTGTGAGTTTCAGGCCATCAGGGCTACATAGTGAGATCTCATTTTTAAAAAATTATATTTATGTGTGTGTGTGAACACACTAAAACACAAGCTCATGTCACAGTGAAGTGTGGCGATCAGAGGACACCTGGGAGAGCTGTCTATCTTCCTCCACCATCCCGTAGGTTCTGAGTTAAACTCAGTGCCTGGTGTAGTAGCCTGTGCCTTTCTCTACTGGTCCATCTGACTGTCCCCCACCTCACCAAAGTCTCTCTCTCTCTTCTTTCTTTCCTTCCTTCCTTCCTTTCTTCTTTCTTTCTTTCTTTCTTTCTTTCTTTCTTTCTTTCTTTTCTTCTTT